CCCACCCGCCCCCAGTGAGCACATGTGCCAGGTGGTGATAAAACTGCAACACAATCCACTGTGCGTAAATCAGAACCAAATCCTTAAAAAATGTTCAATAACCCTCGAAAGGCAAGGAAAAAGAAATTAAAGAAGAAACGGCCAGCAGGTAGCATGGTAATTAAGGTGCTGACTTCCAAATGGCTAACCACAGTCGGAATCCCAGATCTGGTGGCTTGAAAATCATACTAGGCATGTGTGCGTGCATGCCCAAAATCCTGAGGAGATTGCAGGAAAAGGGCTTGTTATGTGGTCATTCCTCTGGGGGATGATTTCTCACTTTCCTCTTTCTGTCTCTCTTTCTGTCAAGTGCATGCACACTGCGGCAAAATCTAAAACAAAAAAAAAGAGAGAGAAAGGAAATAGAAAACAAACAACAAAATGACAAACTTAAACCCGAACATATCAATAATTACTTATATTACATTTAAATGGTGTAAATGTACTAATTAAAAGAAAGAGATTAGTTAATTAGAAAACCATGACCCAACTTGTGGCTATCTATAAGAAACTAATTTCAAATGCAGCGTAGGAACTGGCCGAAAGTGGTAAACCTCTAAGCAAGACTGACCAAATAGAGAAAATGCAGTATCTGGAATGAACCAGGAGCTACACTACAGACCTCACAGACATGAGGGTGGTAATAAGAGAATGCTGCAAACGGCTCTACCTGTACAAAACTAACCACTTGGATGAAATGGAGTCCTTCCAAAAACGGAAACTATACCACAACTCTGTATGAAATATAAATTATTTGGATAGCCCTGTAACTATGAGGAAATTTAATTCATGAGTTAAAACCTCCTCTGAAAAAAGACTGACCTCATGACCCAGCAATGGGGTATTGCACAGAGGAAGCCAGATCTCACATGACCGACTAGGGCTTGAATCCCACACCTGTGCATGCCCAGGATCCTGATAGGATGGAGAATCAAAGGAGAAAGTATTGCAGCATGGCCAGGCCCCACAGGGGTTTTCTTTCTTGCATGTGTGTACACCCTCTGACATTAAAAAACAAACAAAAAAACAACTCAGGTCCAGAAGGTGTAAGTGATTTCATCAGAGAATTCTACCAAATGTTTGAAGAATTAACACTATTTCTATATAGTCTCTTTCAGAAAATAGAATAGGAGAGGACACTTCTCAGTTGATTTTATGAAGCTAGTTAGTATTACCCTGGTATCAGAATCAGACAGACAGTACAAATAAATAAATAAAGCTGCAGACTAATATCCATGAGTATAGATGCAAAAGTCTTTAACAAAATTCTAGCAAATATAATTCAACAATACATAAATTATACACCGTGGCCAAGTAGAGTTTATTCTAGGGACGCAAGGCTGGTTCAGTATTCAAAAATCAGTCATGGAAATCCACCGTGTTAGTAGGTTAATGAATAAAGAAGACAAATAAGATCATGTCATTTGATGTGGAGAAAGCATTGGACAAAATTCAATACCCATTTATGTTTAAAACCCCCAGAATAACAGGATTAGAGGAGAATTTTCTCAGCCTAAATAGAGAACTTAAATAAAAGCACCCATCCTACTTACTGATGAAAGCCTAACTATTTCACCCTTAGGATCAGAAACAAAACAGGAATACCTGCTGTCGCCATGTTTATTCAGCGTAGTGCTAGAATTTCTAGGGCAAGAAAAGGAAGTCAAAGCTATACAGATGAGAAAGGAAGAGGTAAAGTTGTTCCAATAGACAATCTATATATTGCCTACTTAGAAAACTCCAAGGAATGTACAAGAAAACTAGAACTAATAAATGAGCCATATAGTAAGGTCACAGAACGCAAACACACACAAATCTCTTGTGTATGTTTATGTATTTATAACTTAGTAATATGTAGGCAATAAAATTTTTAAAAATAGAATAGCAATTGCAATAAATATTCAGACATAAATCTAAGAATATGTACAGGACTTATATACTGAAAACTGTACAGGTTGAATTAAAGAAATCAAAAAAGATAGACACACCATATTCATAGACTGAAAATTCAACATAGCAAACATGTCAATTCTCCCAAATTGATTTATAAGTCTCTTAGCTCTGGAAAAGAGGCTTTATGAAGAAGACAAAGGGGCAGACTACACATGGGAAGTACTGAAATACTTCCAAATGACAGCTCTGACAAAGGAGAAGTCTCTAGAATATTTAAAGATCTTGCAAGATTGAACAGCAAAAAGCCATGCCCGAAAATGGGCAAAAGGACATAGACTTCACTGAAGAGGGTGGTAGAGAGCAAAGAAGCCCCTGGAAAGATGTGCAATAGCATTAGTTAGGAGGGAAATGCAAAAGAAAGCCCCAGTGCAGTACCATTGCCACCCTGCCATCAGAACAGCAGATATAAAAACAGTGACGACACCAAATGCTGGCGAGGCTGCAGAGAAAGTATTACTATCCGTAAGCAAGCAGCAGCCAGCACCAAGATTTAGGAAAGCATTCACCAGAACTTAAGAAAATTAAGTTAATGTTTGTTTTTCCCAACAATAGAGTGAAGCGGCCTGATTTGCAGCTTTAGAGCAGAGTATGAGAGTCACTGGTTCCCAGGGGTCCCTTGACCCCTCCTGTGCATAAGGGTGCACAACATGTGTCACACATGCACGCACTCACACATATATGCACACCCTTGTTCCCCGAAGCCCACACTCTCTAGTACAAAGAATTCCCTATCACTTTTTACACTGGCAGCTGAAAACAGCAGTCAGGAATGAGCTTTTCAGACTCCCTGGTTTGGCAGCATGGAAGAGGCATGCTCTGGGGCCTGCAGAAGGGCTTTCCCTAGGTAGGAAAAGGGCCCAGACATAGCAGCCACCAGAGACAGCCATGGCAGGCCATGCGGTCACTGGCTGGGATAAGCAACAACTTTGCGGGAGGGTGTCGGGCTGCGGCTGCATCCTCCGGTGCCTGTCCTGAGAAGGACCTTGGTGTGATTTTGTTTATATGTTAATGCAGACTTTTGTGTAGAAAGGCATCCTTCCTGGGACGTGTGTTTGTCTTGCTTAATCCCTTGTCTCTTCCAGGACAGAGAACACCCCAATGATTGCCGGCCTGGGGAAGGTAAGCCTGTGGCCTTGAGCGCAGCAGCTGCTTTGTCATTACCCCAGGGGAGCCCCGGGCGCTAGGGAGGTCATATACTCATGATCCGAAAGGTGGGGTGATAAGGAAAGCCTGGGATTGTTGACCAGCCCAGAGAACCACTTTCTGGGGTCAGTAGGGTGGCACACCCCATCTAAAACAAAGGGCCCTTTGACTTATCACTTCTGAAAGAAATACAGAGGTGTCCTTAAACAGCCAGGGCAGATGGCGGGCTTTCTCCTGACGGGCGCTGGCAGCAGCTCCAGCTCCTAGTCTCCAGGTGACCTGTGGGCTCGAGGTTACCCTAGCCCGATGCAGCCCCAGGTGCCCTCTCCGCCCTGCCTGCTCCCCGTGTACCCTCCAGAAGCTAGGTTTGTGCAGGTGCTGCACACATGGGCTTTGCAACCAAAGACAGGGTGCCAGCCACGCCGCGGGTCTGGGGTCTGCAGGGCTGCCCTGTGCCCCATGCCTCTGCCACAAGGCCACTGCCCTGGAGCAGCCCTTGTGAGCCACCGCTGCAGGGGCCCATGTCCCCTCACTGCTGCCGTCTCTCCCTTTACCAAGCTTTCCCTCCGTGTGACATCTTACGCATCTGTGTGCCTCCCCTACACCTGTCAGCTCCATAGGGCAGGGCCTTGGCTGTGTCTGCCTCAGTATCCCCAGAGCAGACGCCTGGATTCACTGTGACCCGGAGTGACACTAGGGCTTCCACTCTGCCCGACCGCGGGCTTGTTAGACGTCAGACCATGACTCCCAGGGTGACACTCCCCGATGGCAGTGCGTTAAGGGGGAGTCCCAGACCTGCACGTGATGCCAAGCGAAGAGTGCCATGAGGCCCCTACGCCAGCTGTTCCTGGGCCCTGCTGCCCTGCCTGCAAGGTGGGCATTAGTCGCAGCTTCCGAAAGCCTCAGCTCACCCCAGCCCTGATGGCCTCGGCCCTGGGCTTCACCCATGCCCGGAGCTGCAGATGCCCACGTGGCCTCAGTCTCGTCCGGGCCGCACAGCCTGCCCCGGCCCAGTCTGACCATCCAGCACAGGTGCCCCTGCACACACCGTGGGCCAAGCCAAGGTCCCTGGTTCCTTCCAGAGGGCACCTTCCAGCAGTGCCCCCTCGTACACCCTCACTTTCTTCCTGCTGGGACGTCCCAGCCTTTAAACTGGCCTCCTCGGCCGTGCGGCCCTCCCTCTCACCCTTGCCTCTCTTCTCGGCCAGGCAGCTTGTTCCTCTCCCCCGAAACTTGCTGAGGACTCAGCCGTGCCCTGGCCCCTGGCGTCTCCTCAGTCTCAGCAGCCTTTGCCATGGCCGGCCCCATCGGCCCTCCCTGCGCCACGGTGCCCTCCCACCCTCACCCGCTGGCTGGTGGTGTAGTCGGCAGCTGTCACACCGGCCCCTGCTCACGTCTGAGTCCGATGTCACACAGGCCTGACCTTCCTCCTGAGGGCCCCGCATCCCTGGCTGCTTGTGGACATTTCCTCAGGTCCTGGTCACTCTCCTCCTGCTGACCCTCACCTTGAGGTGTCTCCCACCAACCAGGTTCTCACTTCAGAGATCAAGGGGTGCCTTCGTCCCTCCTTGTCCTGCCCCCAGCATCTAATGCAGCCTCCAGCCCTGTCGGTCTGTCTGTCTCCCTCCTGCCATTCGCATCTTGGCCTCCCGCCATC